GGGTGTGTGTGGGTTTCGAGGTAGCAGGTGCTTCTACTGTTGCTTTTGTCGTCGCGCTCAGTTCAGCCGTGTGCGTCCCCTGCCGTGGGGTGACCACTTGTGTCGGGCATTTTGGTCGTTTGCTGGGTTTCCGGATCGGGCTAGGTGGTGTGATCCGTGAACTCAAGTCTGCTATTTTCGCCTCAAGTGTGGCGATTTTTGAATTCACTCTTTCTTCGGCTCCTGACAATAGCTTCCCGTACTTGTGTGTGATACAATTGATGCATTTTACAATCGGGATTTCCGCACATTCTGTACAGAACTATATACGTTCTGGCTGAGTGGCTAACCGTTTTGCCAAGAGTTTGGCACATGAAAGGTGAAAGTGTTTTAGGCAGTGTGTGCAAAATATCCCCTTTTTAACTTCTTTCTTACAACTCCGTAGGCTGCATACTTCCGATTCTGTCGAAANTGCGGCACTTGTTGACAGTATGCGACGTCCCATTTTTGGCACTTTATCGAGCGGGGAGATTGACCAAATATGAAAAAAGGTCACGTGAAGCGAGAGAACTTGTCGCGGTCGTCCGCTCGTCCGGATCAGTGGAGGTCACAGGTACACAGAACAATGACGAAGGTCACTTGGGGAATATCGATCGGCTTTTCTGGCTGCAGTGGAACAGACACAAATGCGACTGCGAGTGGCAGCTATGATTGCACTGAACTGCACAAATAGATCCGTAGAATGCTTGAAATGGAGCTTGGAGCTTGTTGAATTTCCTATCGAACGATATCAGAATGTTGACAGAGCGAATGAAATTGCACAATTTCGCACGCGTGAGTAAATTCCAAAGCTTCGATGATAACAGAAAAACTGCTCAATGGAGAGATATGAGCGATTTACTTCCAATGGAATGATATCACAAGATAGAGCTCACAGGACTGGATCGAATGAACGTAGACTCGACGATGTACGACGAAGGTAAGTATTAAAAGAGAGAGTAATCCACAGCAACTATAAATGAAACTGGATTTCTCAACGATTAATGACTATTTTAAAAATGACTACCATTACCTCTGGCTGGTATTCGGGACACAGAAACAAACACTTGGTTGTCTGTGGGAAGCAACTTTACAAAGTTTACGCCCTGAACGAAAGCGGGTGAATAAAGTAAGATGAATCAATGCACGGCCTTTTACAGCTGGTGACAGGATTTGAAACGCCTGGACTGTTCACAGCCGGACGGTCTTACAAAGCATCAAGTAAGCCGAACACTTGCGACGCACTGACAGAACGAGACAACCCGTGAATAGAAAAAAAGAGTATAATAAAATACAGGCTGATAGGAGGTCAAGCGTGCTGCACGCCATTTCCCTGTGACGTATTACCAGTGAAGATGGGCGTCACAAAACGAAGCACACTTACCATGACCCCCAATTGGAAATGCCCAACGACTGGATACCGAGACCCAGTATCTGAGCAGCAGCAACAAGGAAAAATATGAAGAAGTTGACCGAACTGTTGGACCTAAAAGGAAGAAAAAATATCCAACACAACTTAATAAATGTATTTCAGTAGTATACGCAACATATCCGATAAAATACTCACTTAAATTTCCCTCTATTAGCTACATGTCACTAAAATGTAAGATTTCCCGATTTTGACAATGGTTAATGGTGCATCAGATGCAAAATAACAAAGCCACAGTAGAAAACTGTTGAAACGAACATCAGTGCCATTCGTCCAACGATAAGCCCGGCCGCATACTTGCTAATTCAGTGGGCAAAAATCAAACAATTTTACAACACATTCGACCCAAGTTGGGTCATCTCGAATCAATACTAATTTCGCGGAAATAAATCAATAATATTGCGTCGTACGGCAATATTTACTCTCTCCGTTCGTCTAATCCGCAGCCTATGGTCGTTTGAACATTGCTCACTGTGCATTTCATTGGTACATTCTTTTTCTTGCATTGGTCAATGTTATTTTCAGTCACATATAAGCAGCAGAGTGGACTTGTAAATTGACTTGTGACGCACGACTCGTGATTTGTGCTTAACGCCATTAAAATCCCGTGCTGCTGAAGCCGTGTCTTCTCTCTCCGGTGTTTGGGAGGCCTGAGAGAGTGATACCCGACCGTGCACCCTGTGTTTCACCTAGGTAGCGTCCGCTCCTAGAAGTATCATCCGCTCACGGACTTGGTGTTAGTCCGCTGTTCTTGTTTCGCGTGTGCTACTATTGTTACTGTGCTATATCTTGTGTTCATTGCACTTGTGGTGTTCTCCTGCGATATAGTGCTGTGCGAATTAATAGTAGGCAACGGGTATACGCGACGCAAAACATAACAAATTGGCGACGGGAGTGTTACAATGTCGAAGCAGAACCCCAACGCGGATGATGTCCGAACAATGATGCAAGCTCAGTTACGCCTGATGGAGTTGCTGACTGCTCGCCTGGCTGGTACAAGATTATCAACCCCCACTGATTCGTGCACTGCAGACCATATTGTCCGCAATATACCAGATTTTCACTATGATCCTCATGCTGGTGTCTCCTTCGAATCATGGTATAAACGTTATGAGGACATATTCACGGTCGAGCTTGGCTTCCACGATGAAGACACACGAGTTCGTCTTTTGTTACGCAAACTGGGTCCGTTACTCCAACTATATACTTCCGGCGGAACCACGAACACCGACATTCCTCGATACGGTCAAAACGCTCAAAAAGATATTTGGACAAACGGCTTCCTTATTCAATATTCGGTTCAATTGTCTCCAAGTATACAAGAAAGACGCTGACGACTTTGTCACCTAAGGTGGGCTGGTCAATAGAGAATGTGAACGGTTTTGCCTGGGTTCGCTTACCGAAAATCAGTTCCGATGCCTTGTTTTCATTTGTGGTCTTCGAGCCCCTCGATCCGAAGTCGTTCGTACCAGGTTGTTGGCGAAAATCGATCAAGACCCAAATATAAAGTTGCAGTACTTGATCGATGAATGTGAGCGCATTGCGAACCTAAAACATGACTCGGCAATGATCGAGCGACAAAACCAGCCAATATCAACTTTGCACGCTGTGTCAAAACACCGGAAACACCTACAGAGACCCAGGCCCCCCACTGCTACCAATGATCGTCGACCACCATCGCCATGTAAATATTGTGGGGCATGGCACTTTCATCGATTTTGTCCACTACGAAGGAACCGTAATACACAGCACCAGCAAACGGGTCACCAGATCAACAAATGGAAGAATCACGGTAACTCTCGATCAATCAAACGAAACATCAGACCCCGCAGCAGGTCCGCTAAACCCGAAGATCAGTCATTGAGTTTGATCGCACGTTTCAACTTGGATGAAGCTACTCCTAGACAATACATCCGCCTTTCTATGAATGGATATCCGGCGCGGCTAAAGTTCGATACAGCTTCAGACATTACTATTATTTCGAGACAACTGTGGTCCTCCATCGGCCGTCCCACATTGACACGAACCACACGTACAGCCACCGGTACCTGTGGTGGCTCTATCAAACTTGGTAGCACAGTTTGAGTGTACTATCGCATTTGCTGACATACACAAGCAGGGCATCTGTTATCTCTCTGATAAACCACTCAATCTGTTGGGCCTCGACTGGATCGGCCGTCTCAATCTATGGGATTTACCATTGAGCACAATAAGTAACACACTCTCTTCCTCCGACTCACCGATGGAAAAACAAATGACAGAGCAATTTCCGGAGGTTTTCCAAGACGGAATCGGACTATGCACCCGTGCACAAGCCTCATTGCAACTGTTACCTGACGCTCAACCAGTATTCCGCACCAAATGTCCAGTACCGTATGCAGCCCTCCCATTAATGGATCAGGAACTGAAGCGCATGGAAAATCTTGAGATTATTGTTCCTGTCACATACTTTAAGTGGGCAGCGCCTATCGCTGTAGTGAGAAAGGCGAATGGTAGCATCCGCATCTGTGCCGACTTTTCGACGGGACTAAACAACGCACTACAGCCCAACTGCTATCCATTGCCACTTCCAGAAGATATCTTCACAATGTTGGACGGAGAGAAATATTTTGCTAAACTGGAAGCTTATTTCCAGATTCCCGTTGAACCGGTGTCCCAAGAACTGCTGACTATTAACACCCACCGAGGTTTATTCCAGTATACGCGCCTCCCATTTGGTGTTAAAACAGCGCCCGGCATACTTCAGCAAGTTATGGACGCCATGAATACTGGCCTCGAGGATACCGCGGCTTACTTGGATGATAACATAGTCGTTGGAGCTACACAAGCAGAACTGCGAGTACGATTGCAAAAACTGCTTGCTCGCATCCAAGAATACGGACTTCGTCTTCGGAAAGATAAGTGCCAATTCCTGATGACGTCCATCAAGTCCCTTGGTTTTGTCTTCGACGCCCGAGGACGTCGTCCTGACCCCGAAAACGTCCAGGCTATTACAGCTATGCAGCCACCACGAGATATCTCCACACTACGGTCTTTTCTAGGAATGGTCACCCCGTACCCTAACCACTGATGACCACTGTGGAGGTAGCTGAATTATCCCTGTTTCTGACATAGGGAAAAGTTCTCACTAAATTAAAATCCCAGCTCCTGTGCGGTAATCAAATGAATTCGACATTGAACTTGACCCCCTCCAGGGACTGTGTAAATGTGTAAAAATAATTATTAATTAGGTTTAACCGTTTTTTACTACCAACCTCAAACGACAAGATATACCAACCTTCATTTGTGAAAAATACGACCTTCGTAAATGCAACTAAAGAGTAGCAGTTACCGAAAACCTTCCTCATTAGTACAAAACATTTTGCGATATCTAGATTGGTATGCGCAGGAGACCAAAAACAAGGCGCTCAGTATTTACTTTCGTCTTAACTCGTCAGGCGAAATGAATATTTACTTCTTTTGACAGGTAACACGAAATTCATTATAAAACTAACTCAGTAGATCAGCTTTCACCGGATGCTAAATTACTCGTTGGCCACCAGTGAGACGGGTGACGCGATTTGAATCTGTTGGTAAAGTCAATGCATGCTCTGCTTTGCTGGGCGTTCAATAACGGCTTCATATCACATGGCCTCAGCTGTACTTTAAATTGAGTCATCACTTTGTACACGAAAGCGTGAGGAAGAACGGTTGATCAGCCCGGACTATCCTCTAGATTGCTTTTGTGCAACTGCTCTGATGCGATCAAATACAACCATCGTCCTGCTTTGATAGGATCGGTTTTCTCCCTCTCGGTTTATGTCTTGATGGAGAAATTCGATTGATTGTGCGAAAAATTGAACTCGGTTTCATCGGATTTATGTGCCTCATGATTAAGTTGCCAAAACCCTTTAAATGTTTCATCGAATTGGCTATGGTGACACTACAAGACGCTTATTCAACGAGCCGCACACCTCAAGGTCCACTTTCAAAGATCAACTTATATGTTTCGTGGACTATATTTTCGGTTCTTTCAGTATTGTGGATAATGCGTGGTTAGTTTGTAGCTAAAAAAAAATCATCAAATTATTTAAGTTAGAATATTTCCATTTATCTGCTTATTTACCGTGCATTGAATGAAAAGAGGTAAGCAATTTAGAATACATGTGTTCAACTTAGTGAACACTCATGGAACAGGAATTATTTATTAAAAAGAATAAATTCACAAGCTGCTTTGCATGAAATATCTCCCAAATCTGAGCTGCGCTTCATTTGCACTCTTCTCCAATGAAATGATGTCAAATGACGAACCGTGATCACAATTCACAAATCATCCCCAATAGATTGTACGTATGGCAAGGAAAGCTGACCGCTTTTTCGGCCGTTCGTTGAACGTGAAAAACAAGTCACAGTCATCGTAAAATAAAATTAAAGGAAGCTGGCCAAGCGCGTTCGCCTTTGTTCAATGCAACAAGTCTGAGTTTTGGGGAAACATGCGAAAAATTTAAGTGTCTCAAACCGCTAAACGAAAACCGGTCTCTTCGTCAGTGAAAAAATGCAAAGGGTGTTTTTCCAACCTGATCGGACAAAATTCGGGCAAACTGGTCCAGGAAGAAGCCAGTAACCACGGAGGAACTAAGAAATAATTTGGGAATGCTTGTACCTTCAAACCACTAGCTCTCGGTTCGCAAATTAGCTGGGCTACAAATAAGGAATGATGGAACGGCATTGTACTCGAGATCCATAGAAAACTTTTCCAGGTAGAATGTACAATGGTGAAAAAAACTGACTAGAAGTAAAAAAAAGTTGATCGAAAGGCAACTGCTAGTTGACAGTAGCACAGTGGATTCGGAGTTAGATTAAGACACCTTATGGTTTCTACTGATGCATGAACAGTTGCATGATGAACTAGGAAATAGATATGATCCCAAGTGAACCCATTCAATTCACGGTAAAGATGAACGGAATCCCCGGAATCATTGGAAGAAATAAACCATCCACCAGATCGTCTAGCTGCACACTGACTGCTGTATTTTTTCAATACACAATCCACTGAGGCAAACTTAAATTGACCTTTTTGTGATAAACAACCCCGGGAATATTCCCCTTCTCTACAGCTTCGCTTAGAATGAGGCTTTGAAGAAGAGTGCAACGTACACTAACTGCATTACGTCATTTTACTTTGAGAACTAGCACGCAACTGCTTTAGTGAACAAATCCGACGAATGCTCATAATTAAGTGACGAAAGGATAATCTACCTTTCTTGTGGAAACAATGGAAAGACTTCATTCACACTGGGTTATCTTCTTCTCAATGGTCAATCAAATCACGCCCTGCTTCCCGAATTATGCGGGAATTAAGGAAAATTGACTATGGATTCAAATGCGATGGAAATATTTGAGATGATCGATAAGGAGCACTGGACAGCCGTTTCGTCCTGTTTGGGACTCGTCAGCAGTGGGTACTTCTGTGTCTTTGTCAAGATTCTAAATTGATTGAACCATTCGGACAAGGTGATGACCGTCGACCGTGTAGCTCAGGGTAAGGGTTTGAAGTCCCAACCCGAAGTTTCGCGGTTCGAGTCCTGACAGGGACACAAAAAGTACGCACTACTAACGAATCCCAAACGGGACGGAACAAATATCCAGTGTTCTCTGTCGGCCATCACACACATTTCCATTCCATTTGAATGCATTCAACTAGTAGGGAATTAACCATCTCCCAAGGAGTGAAACCCACGCCCAAAGCCAGCAAGTGCCTGGGGACTCTGAGCAATCGAATGGGCTAATCCAAGCCAGATACTCTAAATTGACTATGGATTATTCTTTTAGTTTGCCCGAACATATGTTTAAAAAAATTACCGTGATAAATGTGTCACTTTAAAAACAATAGCTAGATTTTCGAGTCTGAATGCGTTAAACGATGGTTTAAGAACTTCATATTCGATGTGGCACCAGGAAAGAGTAAAAGAGTTACCTGGAGGTAGGTTTCTATGGGCATACGTATGACACCTTGTACCCAAAAAGCCTCATTATTTTCCATCATGGTAGAAAGCAGTTAAATTAACTGTTCTGTAAACTGCACCGCGGGAGGCGGTGATTACCGCAATCTGTTCAGAAGAGCATTGGGAACGATTATCCAATCTCCAGCACGTCGATCCAATACAGGTTCTCACAGTTAGCCAACTGTGGATCTAATTAAATTGACGTATTAAACATGAACCGTTGACGGTACAGAGCAACGTTGGCTTGTAAGTCATATGGGACCATAGGCGTTGAATTTGCACTGATGTGTTCCACTCTCAGACTACTTATTTTCCGGCAAAATCATGTGGCCGGTCAGCTGATTACCACATGCATCGATCAGCTGAATGTATCCAATATGATGAAAAGCAGATACTTGAGCTAACAACTTCGCAGCACGGCAAAGCACACGAATGACACGATCAGGTAGGGCGTAAGATGAGCGTGATAGTGAACTTTCTTTGTGTATCNCCAGCCATAACTCTGGAACTAATGATCAGTTTCAGTTTGAACAACCATTAAACTTTCACCTAAGTGAACCGATTGTAGTTGCAATCTATTTGGTGACCCATTTGATAGACCAACGAAAGAATAACAGGCAATGAAAGGCCGAGAAGTATATCAAGATAAAGATACAATTTAAGTACACAGTGGATACTTCGACGCCACAGGTACACGAAACTGATTTTACCCAGTTCAGTTTCAGTTTGTACAACCATTAAACAAATCGTAGTCAAAGTGAACAGGCAATCCAAAAGATAATTGTTTTAGCATTTGCCGGAGTAATTCAGAGGACAATCGATGCTTGCAGCAATATATATATATATATATATATATATATATATATATCCTCGACGGAAGATGCAACGCTTGCAAACGAATTTCCAAGCGCGGTGAACAGGCGAGAGTGATTAGCAATCTTTGTTTTGTGTTAGAAATACAATTAGTCGGTACATATGTTGAAAAGCCAAAAACACTTCTAGACGCTGATCCAGCCTAGGAGTCGCATCAAACATAAACGACTATTGACGGGATCCGATAGATCAGAGAAGCTTTGACTCTATTACTGGGTACAATACCTACTCCAAGCTGACCTGCTGAGCGAGCTTTGGTATTGCCTGGTTTGCAGAGGAAGTACGCTAGGTTGCCCATTGACAAGCATCAAAGTGGTCAACTACGCATACAATCATCATAGACTTTGTAAACACAACATACAGGTATTGATCGAACTCGTGCAACATGACTCTGAAAAGAGAAATATTTCTCAGCCTCAAATATCATACCCA